CTGCATCTCTGTCTCCGTCTACTTTCCCACCAGCTCCAGCTAGCATTCCTTCTACTCTGTGTAACTTTTCTACGCCTTGGGATGTGCATCCTCACAAACTTTGCTTTCTTAAATATTGTCCCTCATCCTAGCCTCTATGATACCTCATCAACACTCTAAGTTTCACCTCTCACTGCTGACTACTGGAAGGTTTTGATTGTCCAGATCATCTTTTTGCCCCAGGACATGTCACAGAACACCGGCCAACTTAAGCTTTAGTAGTTTTGGGGTCAGCTGCACAGCCTGATGCAATCAGCATAGTGCAAAATGGGCTTCCAAGGGCTGCTCTTTCAGTAAGAGCTGTGGGCCAGTCTTCCCTAAAAAGAGCTCTGGTGGCTTCACAGGCGAATTTTACCAAACATTCAAAGAAGAATCAACAACTCTCCTCAAACTCTTACAAAAAATTCAAGAGGAGGGAAGACTTCCAAGATCTTTTTATGAGGCCAGCACTATCCTAATTCCAAAACCAGATAAAGACACTACAGAGAAAGAAAATCATAGATCATTATTCCTGATGAACATAAATGCTAAAATCCTTGATGAAATATTAGCAAATTAGATCTGACAATACATTAGAAAGAGCAACCATTTATTTTTAAAAATGTTTTATTGATTATGCCATTACAGTTGTCTTATTCCCCCCCACCCTGCACACGTCATTCCCCACCATTCCCCCCCTTTATTTCATGTCCATGTGTCACAAGTTCTTTAGCTTCTACATTTCCCATACTATTCTTCCCATTTTCTACCTACCATCTATGCTATTTAGTCTCTGTATCTTCTCCCCCCTTCTCCTTCTCCCATTTCCCCATTGCTAACTCTCTATGGGATCTCCATTTCTATGGCTCTGCTCCTGATCTAGCTGTCTGCTAAGTTTACTTTTGTTTTAGGTGTGGTTGTTAATAACTGTGAGTTTGCTCTCCTTTCATTGTTCATATTTTTTATCTTCTTTTTCTTAGATAAGTCCTATTAATATTTCATATAATAAGGGCTTGGTGATGATGAACTCCTTGAACTTGACCTTATCTGGGAAGCACTTTATCTGCCCTTCCATTCTAAATGACACCTTTGCTGGCTAGAGTAATCTTGGATGTAGGTCCTTGCCTTCCACAACTTGGAATACTTCTTTCTAGCCCCTTCTTTCCTGCAAGGTTTGTTTTGAGAAATCCCCTGACAGTCTTATGGGAACTCCTTTGTAGGTAACTATTTCCTTCTCTCTTGCTGCTTTTAAGATTCTCTCCCTATCTTTAATCTTGGGTAATGTAATGATGATGTACCTTGGTGTGTGCTTCCTTGGGTCCAACTTCTTTAGTACTCTCTGAGCTTCCCGGACCTCATGGAATCCTGTTTCTTTTGCCAGATTAGGGAAGTTCTCCTTCATTATGTTTTCAAATAAGTTATCAACTTCTTGCTGTTCCTCTTCTCCTTCTGACACCCCCATGATTTACGTGTTGGAATTTTTAAAGTTGTCCCAGAGGTTCCTAAGACTCTTTGTTTGAATTCTTGTTTCTTCATTCTGTTCTGGATGAATGTTTATTTCTTCCTTCTGTTTCAAACCATTGATTTGAGTCCCCATTTCCTTCCCTTCACTTTTGGTTCCCTGTACACTCTCTTTTATGTCACTTTTCATAGCCTTCACTTTTCCCTCTATTTTGTGACCATACTCAACCAATTCTATGAGCATCCTGATTACGTGTTTTGAACTCTGCATCTGATAGGGTGGCTATCTCTTCATCACTTAGCTACATTTTTTCCTGGGGCTTTTATCTGTTCTTTTATTTGGGCCATTATTTTTTGTCTCACCACACCTGTTCCTTAGTAAGTGGTAGAGCCTTATGGGTGGGGCAACCCCTGTCGCTGTGTTGTGGCATTCTATGTAGGGAAGGGGTCCTAGATGGAACAATGCCACTGCTCAGCTCTTGGTTGGTGTCCAGTCACTTCCTCTTCTACCCACAAGCAAATTGGGTCCTTCTAGTGCTGATTCGTGGGCGGGTGTGGGTTTATGTACCTTCTAGGCCCCTACGGATCTCTCCAATGAACTGTCCTGTGAGGCTGAGAGTTTCTCCCGCCGCCACAACCCCCACAGGTTTTTTCAGTCAGGTTTTTGAGGGCTGGATTCCTGGGTTGTGTGGACTGTCTCACTCCCCAGTTGATCTGCATGCAAATGTAGGACTGCCCACTCCACCAGCCACCACCTCACCCACCCAGTCCTCCAGCCGCTGTTACCCATCTCTATCCCTCCTTCCAGTCTGTATGGATGTTTCTCCTTTAACTCCTTGGTTGTTGAACTTCTTTATAGTTTGATTTTCTGGGACTTCTGGTTATTTTTTTGTTTTTAAATTTTTTCTTTTTGTCCTTCTTTTGGTTATTTGAGGAGGCCAACTGTATCTATGTATGCTTCCATCTTGGCCAGAAGTCCCTGACTGGTTCTTTTTGAGGCGTTGAAGTTCTCACCATGTTCATCAAGCATCCCTGTAATCAGTGCTTGAACTCTGCATCTAGCAGATTGCTTGCTACCATCTTGTTTAGTTCTTTTTCTGAAGTTTTGTTCTTTCACTTGACTCATGTTTGTCTCCTCGTTTTGGCAATCCATGTTTGTTTCTACCCATTGAGTAGAGCTGCTATGTTCTCCAGGCTTTGCAGAGTGGCTTAATGTAGTACGTGTCCTGTAGGGTCCAGTGGCACAGCTTCCCTGATCACCCAAACTGGGTACTTGGGGTTTGCCTCCTGTGTGGACTATGTCCACCCTCCTCTTGTAGGTAAGCCATGATTGCTGTTAGCACAATGGGAAGGATCTACCCATGCCAATCAGCTGCAAGAACTGGCTGTGACCACCAAACACCAACCTACTTCCACCACGGAGTATCAGATGTGCAGGGGCCCACCCTACAGAACAAGACTTACTTCAGTAGGATTCTGGTGCCTGCTGAGTTCTCCTTTTGAGTGTGTTGCTTGTGGAGTTGGTTGGGTGGTGGTGCTTCAATATAGTCTAAAGCTCTCCACTAGGAGGTACAGGCCAGGGTCAGCAACCACCCATGTTCTGCCTGGGGTCACCGGGCATAAGTTACAAAGCAATCTGCAGATGGCTGCTATTTGTACGGGGGTTGGAAGTGACCAGGCAAGGCCAAGCTGTGAACTGAGGCCAGCTGCTGCTAGTGCCAGGCCTGGGGCCACTTAGTGAAAAGTACAGTACTCACAGAGGCCAGATGCTGGTTTTTTGAGAGGATTTAGAAAAATCTAAAGCATGAGCCACCACAAGCCATTCATATGGAAACATTTTGGTTGGGCCCCTAAGTTGGGTGGGGTGGGGCCTTAGGGAATCATCAGGGTAGGTCTAACAGTGTGATCCAGGTGATGGAGACACAGACATGGCACCCACCTTGTGGTTCTGCTGGTTGGAGGTCTCAATGAAGGAACAATGGCCTCTGCCAGCACTTTTGTCTGGGAGAAAGCTACCCCTCCAGCTCTTGCTCAGATGCCAAATAATGCATTTCCTGCTTATAAGTCTCTGGTGCATTCCAACCTCCTGCCACTGCCCTGGAGCTCAGGTGTGAGTCCGAGTAAGTCCATACGCATGATCCTTTAAGGGTAATTGCCTGGGACTCCAGAAGCTTCTTCCATCTTCCTCAGCTTCAATCCCGACTTGTTTCATGGGGACTTCTATTCCTGGTACTGGAACCCTGGACCAGAGGAACTGGGATCCCTCACTCTTCAGGGGAGATCTCCACAGGTGATATCCCTCCTGATTTTTATGTGCTGCTAGTGGGTACGGGGCCAGCCCATTCCACATCCTGGCCACACTACCAGTCTCAGTGTGGTTTCTTCTTTAGTTCTCTATTTGTAAGACTTCCATTCAGCTCTGTTTCGGGTGTTTTTGAATAATGGTTGTTGATATTTAGTTGTAATTTTGATACGGTTATGAGAGGAGGCAAGTATCATTTTTATCTACTCTGGCATCTTGCCCAGAAGTCTTCAGGTGGCTTGTTTAAATCAGGGTAGGCACAATTCTAAAACGGCTCTACGACATATCCTACTCTAATCCCCACACAGTGAATGTGAGACATTACATCTGTGACATCCCATTACCTGGCCAAAGGGATTTGCAGATGTAATTAAGGTTACAGTCAACTGATGCTGAGGTTACCAACAGGAAGATTACCATGGTAGGCCTAAACTAATCATGAAAACCTTATAAAAGCTGTCAATATAGCTTACTGCAGAAAAGGAAGTAATATTTCAAGAATGAAGAGGATTCAATGCACTGTTACTAGTTTGAAGAGGAAGGAGGCATCAAGAAACAAGGGTGATTTCCAACAGCTCAGAGTGGCCCATGACAGACAGCAAGGACCTGGGGACTTCAATCCTAACACAAGGATCTGAATTCAGGCAACAAACTGGGAGTTGGAAAGAGCTTCTTCCCTTAGGGAATCCACCTCAGCTGACATGATTCCAGCCTATGAGACCCCAGGCAGAGAACGTAGTCTAGCCTGCCTGGACTTCTGACCTACAAAACTGTAAGATAATAAAAAGGGGTGAGATTTAAAGCTGCTAAATTGTGTTTTTTTACATAGCAATAGAAACCAATAAAATCATCCTGTGCTAGACAAAGTTTTTTTTTTTTTTCAATGACCAAATCCTGACATGAGATTTTGTTTGTGTTTTACTGACTCATTTGTGTACTATCATGAAGCCCCCCTCTGCTTTTCTGTTTCCTGAACTTGGTTTACTGCTCTCCTTTTCGCTTTCAGGAAATCCAACCTATAATACTGCCCCTTTACTTAACAGCAATAAACCCACAAAAAAATGAAGGGATAAAACCATCAGTGACCAAAAAGGTCCATGTTCAAGCCAATAAATCTGTAAAATCAGAAAGGTGTCTAACACAAAATCGGGTACTAAGTTTGTATTCAATATTCTCTTATAAGAACTGTCTCAACTAGAAAAATAATCAATATACACACTGAGTCAGAAAATTATTTTAATGGTTACAAAACTTTTTTTTACAGAATCAGTATAAAATAGCAGTCAATTTCTCCATAATTATCAGAATTATTTATACGTGAGGTCTTGGCTAAGTGGGGCTGAAATCAACAAAGGTCTCGGACTGTTGGCTCAGAAACCATCCTAGGCAGCCTGCCTTGCTGACGTCTGTCATGCTTAGCTCTTATGAGATGACCTGGTCGTTTTAAAAATATTTGCTCATTCATTCTTTGGAGGCTTGAAGTGAATTCGGCAGCGTTCATTAAACACCTGACATTTAAACAGAAACAAGTCACTGAATTATTCGGTATAAACCAGGCCTGGCACCAGATTAAATTTACATGTTCAGCCTTGACTGGTGTGGATCAGTCAGTTGGCTGTCATCCCACAAAGTGAAAGATCGCTGGCTCAATTCCTAGTCTGGGCACGTGCCTGGGCTGAGGTCAGCCCCTGGTCAGGGTGCATACAACAGGCAACCAACTGATGTTTCTCTCCCTCCCTTCCTCTCTAAAAATAAAAAAATACATTAAAAAAATTTACCATGGCTCAGGAGGACATAATAGTTTCTTTCCCATCACCAGTTTTAGGAAACAGGGATTTTTCTCACCAGTTCAAACTGACTTATGAAGTGCTAAGAGCACAGAAAGCCTTGATATACACTTATAAGGCAATTTTATTATTTTAATCAAATTTAAATTATTTGATTTTATTCAAATAATTCAAGGAAAAAAATCATCGCAGGTAGCTTATTTAGTAACTAACCAACAGTTCAGTTCCATATTCAGGACTTATTTTAGACAGGTAGACAAAGATACCTAAAATAAGTTGAAGGCCCCCCCCTTTTTTGTAACATAAAATTTACTTAGATATCTGTTGTGCTTTTTTAACGAACTACAGAGATGATCCCTAAAAGTATAGTTTTGTTGTGCTTTACTAAATGAGTGCTAGCACCTTCTTACAAGTAGGTATGCTTGAAGGGAGACTATATTTTGTTAAACTGTGCAAATTTACATGTTTTGTTCTATTTACATTGCTACCTAAAAATCTAAACAAATTATACATCAAAAAGGTTAAAAAGAATGTTTTAAAATGTTTTATCACTGTCTTGTCAATACGGGATTATGTTAGCCAAAAATTATGATACAGTCATTCAACAGAATACAATGTAAAAGGCGAAAGATTTATACAATCTGAAGAGAAACCAGAGTAACAACAAAATACAATGTAAACATAAAAGAGAATAAGAAAGCTCTTTATGTTTTGATTTTAAAAGATCTCCAAGATCTGTTAAGGAAAAACACTGTGAAGAGTCCACTTACATTTGTGTGACAAAGAGGGAAGTGAGTGTGCGCGCATATGTAACATTTAAAAAGGTGCCAATATCTGAACGTATACACCATCCTTTCAGAGGGAAGGGAAAAGTGGCTATAACAGAGATGAGAGGTAGAATTTTTATTGTATATCCTTTCATATTCAAAAAATTAAATTATGTATCTAAAATGTGTATTTTAAAAACTATATATATATATACAATCTTTTAAAAATTCTCAGAATTACTGTCAACTTTCATTAACATAAGGAAAAATCATTTTTTAAAAAGATTTATTTATTTTTAGAGAGAGGGGAAGGAAGGGAGAAAGAGAGGGGGAGAAACATCAACATGTGGTTACCTCTCACGAGCCTGGCCTGCAACCTAGGCATGTGCTCCAACCAGGAGTCGAACCAGCGACCCTTTGGTTTGCAGGCCAGCACTCATTCCACTGAGCCACACCAGCCAGGGCAGGGAAAAATCATTTTTAAGGTTAAAAGAGAAAAACCTACTTTGGCTGCTGTTGACTATTACAAAAATAAAAGCAAAATCTACATGGGGAGGTTTTAAAGGTGCTGGTATTACTCACTTCTTAAGCTGTGTGGTAAATACATGAATGCTCATTTTACTCACATCCTTAAGTTCTACATGTTACATGCTCCTTAGCATGTACATCTAACAATTACAAAACAAGTCAAAATTATAGACTCCTTCTGGCCCCTCCATCTTGTAGTTTAGCATATGCCCAGCTCCTAGCCCTGACATTCCCTGAAGTTCCTAATGCTCAGACCAAGGGAGACTCCAGATTACTGGCCTTGACATACTGGTTGGGATGATACGTACAACTCGGGCGAGCTTCTCCAATTCTTTTCCTAAATAACTTCCTAACCACTTTTGCAGGATTACTGCACTCAGCCATTTTCATAATTTTAAAACAAGTGGGAGAGGTCACTTTCTGTGGGGTGGGAGGCTTATATTGTCACTGGGTGAGGACCGGGCCCAGAGTAGGTCTGCCTCAGGCTAGCCAATAGCTCTTGTCCTCAAGCAGGAGAGATCTCACAGCAGGAGTCCAGGTAATTCTGAGTGTTTATTAAAGCTGGGGACGATGAAACAAACGACCTAGGGTAGAAGAAGCAACAGGAGAGGAGAGAGTGTAGGCAAAGCTCTGCTTTGGCTCCCTAGAAACATCATGAAGAAAGAAGTAAGCCAAGGCAGGGCTGCTATTAGCTCACTGGAAAGCCAGAGAGGAAGGAAGCCTTGGAGACAGAACCAGATGAGCTGCCACTGCCCCTTGCTCTCCTGGCTGCAAGTCTCATGGGGACCCTTAGAGTTTGGGAGGACATAAAAAGTTCATGCCAGAAAAGGGACATGGCATGCTCTAGAGCAAGCCTGTGCTGAGCCTTTGTCTCGAGAGTGTTTATTTTTCTTTTGCAGGTGAGAATTTTAGGGGAGGGTTTCAGCAGAATATTTATCAGGTTTCCAGGTGCATTTTTAATATGCTGATGCATTAAAATGAGCAAACAGCAAAGTCTGGGATTATTCTTTGGTCTGTTTTATTGTTTTACTTTTATCTTAGGTCTGTCTGGCTGTAATCAGGTTTTTATAATTTGTTCCCATGATTCTACCCATCCTTGAGCTCAGCTGACAAAAATGGCACTGCTTGGGTCCCTGTTCTCTATCTCCCCGACCAGAGTGATTTACACTATGTACTCTCTGGTTAGGAGGGGGAATATAAAACAATTGCTCTTAAATGTCTTCAATTAGGGAAGATAAGGTCTTACGATTCACTACAACTTACATGCTGTTACAAGCTGGAAGTTTTTCAGATCGTTCTGCCTTGTTTAATTATCTTGTCTCAGTTTCCCCATTCCACTTGCCAAGGAATTTCTCTAGCTTCTTATTACTATCCTGCCTCAATTTCCTTTAAAACTAGTATCAAATCCAAAAATGCTTCGCTCTTCCCACTACAATACATTTTACATACATCAAATTTTGCACTGGGGTTTTCAAACCAGTTATTTATTGTATCCCTGGCCCTGCCAAGTGTAAATATGATCTCTCTGAGGAATTTAAATGGACTAATATTGCCAAAGTCTTTTGAGTAGCAAACGCCTTATCGCACTGATGAAAAGGGCAGGAATAAGAATTCTTGGCGAAGAGGACGGAACAGAGACATGCAGGCTGTTCTCTCCACAGGGCACAGCCATGCCTTTCACCACCCCCGTCACCCAGGCCCAGTTTCCTTGCCTCTTTTTCCTGAGCTCCGAGGGCCCTTCCTTTGCCTGTCACTTGTTCCTTATGCCTGTCTCTTCTGTGCCTCACTTTCTACCTCTGTGACTAAATGAACTTTCTCTTATAGTTTGAAAAATATAATAAAGCAAAAAAATTAATTTATTCATGGCTCTGAAAGTTGGTACATACAAGTTTTTGGGTTCAGTTAACCTCTCACTGGGTCAAGCCAATTCCATTGGTTATTTTCAAAGGATAAAACAAATTTTGCTGTTAATTCTTTCAGAATTAATAAGTTTTGCCTTCCAGAAAAAATAGAGTTTTATTGTTTTTAAAAAAAATTTCCCCTCTTACACTCTATTCTGCCTCCTCATGATTATTTTATCCTCACCCAAGGATATTTTTTCATTTCTTTTAGAAAGAAAGGGATAGGAAGAAACATTGACGTGAGATAGAAAGATCAATTGGTTGCCTCTAATACAGTATTATGCCCCAGACCAGGAATCCAACCCGTGACCTACAAATGTGCTCTGACCGGGAATTGAACCTCTGACCCTTGGTTACTAAAAGATGCTCCAACCAACTGAGCCACACTGGCCAGGGCAAGAGAACTGTATAGTTTTAGAGAGGGGTATGCAGATAATATCTTTTTAGAAAACTAAAGTCAAGATTTAAAAAAAAATTTTTTTGACTACATGTGAGGTCCTGGAATCTTAGTTCCACTCTCTCAATTCCTAATCAGACATATGCAGGTGGTAAAAAGGAGCATGTGAACCTAGGAGCCACAAAAAAGCCCTATTGTTAGATACCAAAGGCTATGTACAAAAATGTTTCAGGATCAGATACTAGAAAACAAGCTACTATGATGAATAGCTAAAGATACAAAAATTTATACAAAGTAACTGGGATCAAAATGGCTAATTTTAACAAATAACCTTGGTGAAGGTTCTGAATGAACCAGAGTAAAAACTCTAAATATCAAATATGCCCATAATTAGTATTAGAAAACATACAGAATGTCTCCAACTCTATTACCATGGCAGGTCATACAATTCTGCCGTAACTGTAAAGCCAATTTTTATAAGATGGCTCTATCTGGATGCTAACCATACCCACCGCACCCCTTTGAAAAAAGTGAAAACCGTCAGCTGCTTGGAAATGAAGGATCTCTGTTCTTCTTAAGAACCCCAGAGCTCCCCTCACTCCTCCTCCCTCGGTCTCCCTTTGCCAGTTCAGTTCTTCTCCTACTGCCCTGAGTGCTAACATTTTATACCTTCCAGCTTCTGTCGTTTACCACTTCTTCAACATTCAGTTCTGACTGCATCCATTTCAACTGCAAGAAAGGAAAAACAAATTTAAGAAAACTGAAATTAAAAAACTAACACCAAACTCCACAATATTTCCCCAACAAAACCAGCCACTGCTTCTGCAATCTCTGTTAACAGTATTACCTAGGCTATGACACACCTAACCCATTCTCCCCATAACTAGTCAATTGTTAAATCTTGTTTCCCATGATTCTCAAGCTTTTCTGCATAGTATAATCACCGTGAGAGCTTTAAAAAATCTCAAATCCCCAGTAGTTCACAGAAGAAATAAAAATGGCCTATAAGCATAAATGGGCATAACCTCTACAAAGGACCATTTGGTAAGATTTAAAAAGATCCATAAATTCACATGTCCTTTAACTCAATAATGCCAGTTATAGTTACTGACCCTGTAACATGGATTTGCAAAGACAGCACAGAGGAAAAAACAAGGGGCAAGGAGATGGCAACCTAATTTGGATTATAAAAAAAGAATCGGGGTGGGGGGGCAGAGAGAAAGGGAGAGGAATATATAAGGCCCAAGTGATCTCGCAAGGCATGAGTTCTTCATACCTTGATCATACAGCTCCAGAGGACTCAGGCAAAAAATGCTAAAGTCTTTCTGGTTTTCTTTATAACTGCCAACCTAATCATAAAAGTAGTCAATTCCATTGCCAGGCTCAGAAGGCAGGGCCCATCATTTTCCTAGTCACTTTCTGGTTAGAGAAACCTGAAAGGAAAAAGCCAGCAATTCTAGGAAAAAGGCTTGAAAGTGTTCAGGAAAATTTGGAGGAAAAAAACATGATCTATAGCTTGAGACAGCTAAGAGGTTAAAACCCAGGATGATTTGCTCAGGCCAAAGTCAAGACCCAGGCCAGGATATTTGGGGACAAAAATGCCAGAAGGCTAGGTAAGATCTGGGCAACCGTGAGTCAGCAAACTAGGCCAAAGAACCTACCAACATGCCCCAGACCAGGAATCCAACCCATGAAACAATCCTGCCAGGATTATAGCCCAGGCAGGAGGTCTGAGGATCGTGCATGTAACACTAATAAGACTGGAACTTGGTACTGATCCAATGGCTCCTTGATTCAGAACTGGTGTCAGAGTATATGGGCCAGGACATAGGACTTAAACTGGAACAGGGGTCAGGGCTGCATTTCTGACGGCTGGAGCTGTGCTGTCAAGGAGCAGCAAGTCTAAAGATGCACACCTACACACACCAAAGCAACTGCAGTTTCAGATTTTAATTAGCTGTACAGACATTATTCAAGTGTCACTGCTGTCAGAGCCTGGACTGTCTGCCAAAGAAGTAACAACTTCAAACAATATGCCACTAAGACAAGTCTCAAACAACGTGCCACTAAGACAAGTCTTCACTACTGATCTGAAATATTTAAAGGGATTTCATGCAGCAATGGATTTAGACCTATCCTATATAGCTTCAGAGGGAACATTAATAAGGAGCAGTAATTACCCATTAAAGGGATGCAGATTTTCACAATACACAAGAAAACCTTTGAACAATTACAAAAAGAGAATGTACTGCCACAGAAGATAATGTGCCCCCAGCCCCCTTAAGTAGTGGTTAAAAGAAAGGTGGAAACCACTGGTCGGGAGAACCCATCTTTGGTGCTGAAAAGGTAGGGAACAGCCGGTGAAGAGGATTAACGTGACAAATATGGAGTCTCAGAGCCCCAAAAAGGATAGGAAAAGAGCTGCTACTTTGTATCAGCCAACAGGCTAGCCCGTTTAATCCTCATTAAAAGTTATTAAGTATCAACTATATTTTACAAATTGAAAATCAGAGTCAGAGCAATTTACAAGGTTACGAAGCCACCAAGTGACAGATGGGATTTATTTCCTTCGAGCTGTCTGCCTTTACAACCCATGTTTTTTTTCTGTCCTTGAACACTGCACATAGTACAGCCAAGTCCTGATAAAACTTCAACTGCACCAACATAATGCTTCCTTTGAGCTGGTTCTTTTTGAAAAGGCTCTGGGTCTAAAACAGCTAAATTTCCTCTCAAAGGCCACTAGTAGGTGACAGCAGTTATATAGTTCCAGCAAGGAATATACTTTTTCTGAGTTAAAAATTCAGGTAAAGAACTGGGGACTTTTAGACTGGCACCTCTGTATATAAATAAAATGTCCACTAACATAATCAAAATTTGATTATCAGTCAGAACTGAATGTAAAAACCCTGACTGACCCAGAGTCAGAAGAGCTGACTCTGGTTAAAGTCCTGTTCGACCACGTACTAGCTTGTGATTCTGAAGGTGTCACTGAGTATCTCTGGGTCTCGGTTCCTCATACAGAAAATGAAGAGGCAGAGCGGGAACCTCTCTTAAGAATCGTCTCTTTCTTTTTTTTTTTTTTTAAAGGTTTTTTTTAAAAAATATTTTATTTATTTATTTTTTGAGAGAGGGGAAGGGAAGGAGAGGGGAAGAGAAACATCAATGTATGGTTGCCTCTCATGCATCCCCTGCTGGGAACTGGCCTGCAACCCAGGCATGTGCCCTGACTGGGAATCCAACCTCGATACTCTGGTTCGCAGGCCCCCCGCTCAATCCACTGAGCTATGCCAGCCAGGGTAAGAATGGTCTCTTTCTAATGCCATAATCTCCACAGCAAACTTAAAGAATAAAAATTAAAATGTCAACTTTCCGTACTTGCTTCAGTACTATTCATGGCTATCCTACAGTCCTCCTATATGATGCCAGGATAGAAAGCTACCTTTCTTTCCTAACTCGCCAAATGGTCTTCCTGGTGATTCTCTCTGGGCCCTAAAAGCACAGGGCAGAACTGGGGGTGGGGCAAAGTGTGTGACAGTCCCAAAACACACACTGGTCTCTCCATTAACAAGAGTCACTTTTTCTTTGTTTGGCCTAACTTACAAATAGTGATTTTTAAGTTTCTGATTTAATAACCCTGCTCTGTAGTTTTGTCAATAATACCTACAAGAGTCCGTTAAAATACAAAATCTAAAAATAACTAGATTTTAACCAGGGTTATGTAAATGACCTCTAGGCCTTCATAAATATTAACAGTAAAGTAAGATGACCATTATAGAGCATAAATTCACTGTCTGAGGAACCCACCACTGCCTGATGGATAAGCAGGCACGAAATAAGGGCTGAAGCTGTGTCATGACCGAAGAGAGCCGCGAAGGCAGTGGAGGACTCCTGTACCAATGAGACATGCTGCATCAGTGGGATGGCTGAGAAAGTGTGCACTTGCTGTCTGCAGCTAAAAGAACAAAGGCTTGAAAGAGATGATAAGTGCTTGGCTACATCTACCAAACAAAGGGTAAACTTTGTAACTGTTCAGTATGAAAAACAGGATTCCATCCCACAGTGGATTTTCACTTACCAGACACGCAAGGATCAGTAAATCACCTATTATGGCATCTTGAAATACAGAAATGACTTTGATAATTGCACAGTGATCATAAAAAAAAAAAAGCTCGTGTTTAGGAAATAACCAACAAAAGCAGGGCCAAAGGGGTACAATATACCCAGGACACTCTAAAAATGGCTCAGGAAAAAAAGTGCGCATGTAGGTGGTGGAAGGAAAAGGAAGACTGGGAAAGAGTGAGGAAAGGATAGAGGAAAAAGGCAGGCTAACGAGAATAAACTGTAAAGCAGGTGAGGCAAAATGTAAACAAATAGGTGAATATAAGTGAAGAGTACATGGGAGTTCCTAGTACTATTCTTACAACTTTGCTGTAAGTTTGAAATTATATCAAAATAAAGTTACCCCTTAAGCAAACCTCAAGAGACAACAATGCATTCCATGTAATAAAATACGGTACACAAACATTTTAACTGTTTTCTTGACATGTCATAATCAAAGGCCATAAAAAAGCATTCTGCTTCATTAACTGTACTCTGAGGTCCACACCCTACCTACATTACGGCTGACTGACAGATATGGCTTCCTCTGACATAGCACTCTGTGGACACCTGCTGTTTAATTTAAAGCGAAAGCTGTAGAAATGGGAGACGAAATGGAAACAAAGTCATGTCCAACAAGAGCCAAAGACCCATAGCAACTTCTCCCCAGTAGAGAGAGAAATTATAATCAGGTTCTAATGTATCTAGGTATATTAACAATTGTACTGTATTTTTACAGATGAAGAGCATAATGTCCTAAAGTTAATTATGTATATTACATCTCAGCAGATAAAACCAGAGGTACATATTTTCAAAATGTAAATACATTTAAGAGATGTTTCTTCTCAGGTCAAGCCTCAAAAGACATGGATACAGATGTGACTTCCCTAGATTTTCTGATGTGGTATTGGCCTGAATTAATCCTTTCACCTTTAACAGCAGAATACATAAAAGAATGAAAATAAAGTATGATTGCACTGCATATGTTTATGAAAGTCACATTAACTTGACAATTTATCATTAGATACTTCCAAATGTAATAAAATAAAGTCCATTAAAAATAAAGTTTTAGGGGGTGGAAATGGGAGGGAGGTGGGGAGCAAGGGGCGGGGGAGGCTGGGATGGGAAAAATAGACAAAAAAACTGTACTTGAAAAATAACTAAATAAAATTAATTTTAAAAAATAAATAAATAAAAATAAAGTTTTAGTTTCCTGGTCATTTAAAAAAAAGTAATGATCATATCTTACTCTAAATTTTTCATAATAAAAACTGTTTTTATTTTGAAGAATAAGTTTGGAAAAACTTTGCCTCAGAAATGTAAGCCTTACTCAACTTACCTTTGTCTGTTCTTTTCTAAGTTGCTTTAATAACGTTAAATCATCCAAATTCTTTTCTCTCTCTTCTCGTAGATGTTTTACTACTGATGAAGTCTGAGCTATACAATTTTTTATGAATCTGTCCCTACTGGCATGAGCTTCCATCAACTGAAAGAACAAAGGAGCAAAAAGAGAAAAATCATACCAATTTATTACATTTTAGTTTTTTTTAACCCTTATTTTTACAGTATAGAAATGTATGCTTTCCAAAACAAGTTTTAAAAAATTAAATCTCCAGGAGAGGGCTGTGCTCATCAGCTAACCCACCTAAAGAAGGACGGAAGGAAGCAGCTCTGCCAGTGGCCGGGGCTGTCTTCTTCCTCAGCGAGCTCCCGGGGCTTCCTGCTCCCACATAAGGGATGCTCACACTGGGCCTATCACCTCGTTCTCTTTTTCCCTGCCATCCCCTTCTCTCTTCATTATTTCATCCATGTGTTCCCCAACCCTACACCCACTCTCACACATCTTCTCGGCCACTTTTTATTGGTATTCTTCCTCTCTTCTTTGGTTCTCTCATGCTTTCTATGGCCTCATGTTGTCACAAAGTGCAAGAAATTATAAAGTAAGTGATGTAGAGAAACCCTTAGTTATACAAGAAAAACAGAGAAAGTTACATTTACCTATGTAAGACAGAGCCCTTTTTAAGATTTTAAAGTTAAGTATTAATAAAGCCAAATTATGTATAAAATAGAGTACTGATTCCATCAATTGTGTGTGCTGATTGAAAGAACATCTGACAGAGCAATTCTTTGCAAACCTTCATGTCAGTGTAGCAAATCCAATACAACAATTCAAGCCCATTTTCTGCCTTGATTCCAGTAGTACAATAGCCAAGTATCAAACACTCCTGTGATCATAGCCGAATTATGATGATATCCCCCAAATTTGGGGGACAGAAAAGCAAACATGAAAATGATATGTAATCACCATTATAATGGTACATAAATAACAGTGGTTCACCTCCAACTAAAATGCGTTAACTTGTTCCATGTAATTATATTTTTTCTTCCCTTTGAAGAGAGAATAATCTAATGCAATAGTTATAGCCGGATAACCTAACCATTTTATATACACATATGTCCATGTGTGCATGTTGTGTGTGTGCCTAGACAGATAAAATACAGAACTTAACCATTCTATAAGCATTCTTCATACGCTACTAGAGTACATTTCTTAAATGATCTTATTAGGACCCCACAGTTGAGAATGATGTCTAATGTTCACCAGGAAACAGTAAGTCTTTGCATTTCTAGAGTGCAGTACTAAAAGTGCATTAATTATAAATCATACCCATGGAAAGAGAAGAAAAGTAAAAGTAAAATGCCTAAAAGACATTAATCCCACCTACAGTAAATTTCTCTAATGTGCTCATATTTTTCATTGTACATATGATTCCCAAGGAAAGTTTCAAGGCCCATAGTTTATTGGCTAACACGCTACTTCTTTACTTGTTTACTCCTTCAGGTATAATTACAGGATATTAAAGGAACTACTGAGGATAGGGAACTACTCTTCCCAAAAGAGAATAAAAAGAGAGGTGAAGTAAGGAACTTCTGGTCAAGATGGAGGTGTAGGTAGACACACTATACCTCCTCGCACAACCAAAAGGACAACAACAATTTAAAAACAAAAAACCCCAGAAGCAACAGAAAATCCAACTGTATAGAAGTCCAATAACCAAGGAGTTAAAGAAGAAACATTTGTGAGGACCAGTAGGAGGAGCAGAGTAGGGCAGCCAGGGTAGAGAGGACTTGCAGCAAAGTGGCAGCTGACAGGCCAGGGTGTGCAAGGTGGAGGCTGGCCATCCCAGTGAGGTGGTGGATTGTGGAGCGGGATGCGGTGCACAAGGCAGCTGGAGGATGGAGTGGTCCCACATTTGAGCACAGATAAACCCGGCAAAACCGGGGAGCAAGACAGACCGCACAACCCAAGGTCCCAACGCAGGAAAATAAAGCCTCAATCCCTATAGGGGTTGAGGTGTCTGGGAGAAACTCCCAGCCTCACAGGAGAGGTGTTGGAGAGACCCACAGGGTCCTAGAACGTACACAAGCCCACCCACCCAGGGAATCAGCACCAGAAGGACCCAATTTGCTTGTGGGAAGCAGGGGAAGTGACTGAAATCTGGCAGAGAGCAGAGCAAGTCCTACTGTTCCCTCTTGGACCCCTCCCTGACAGACAGCATCACAACTCAGTGATGTGGGTTACCCTGTAATGGTGAACACTGACGGCCCAACCTCTCACTACGTAACAGGCACATCAAGACCAAAAAAAAAATGCCCAAATGAAAGAACAGATCAACAGATCAAAGCTCCACAGCAAATACAACTAAGCAATGAACAGATAGCCAACCTATCAGATGCATAGTTCAAAATACTGGTGATCAGAATGCTCACAGAACTGGTTGAATTTGTGTCACAAATTAGATGAAAAAATGAAGGCTACACTAAGTGAAATAAAGGAAAATGTACAGGGCACCAATAGTGATGGGAAGGAAACTGGGACTCAAATCAATGGAGTGGACCAGAAGAAGAAAGAAACAAACAGAAAAGAATGAAGAAACAAGAATTCAAAAAAAAATGAGGAGAGGCTTAGGAACCTCCAGGAGATCTTTCAACATTACAACATCTGAATTATAGGGGTACCAGAAGGAGAAGAGGAATAGCAACAAGTGAAGTTATTTGGACAAAAAATAAAGGAGAACTTCCCCAATCTGGCAAAGGAAATAGGCTTCCGGGAAGTCCAGGAAGCTCAGAGAGACCCAAAGAAATTGAACCCAAGGAGAAACACACCAGGACACATCATAATTACATTACCCAAAATTAAGGAGAGCATCCTAGAATCAGCAAGAGAAAAGGAGGTAGTTATCTACAAAGGAGTACCCATCAAATTGTCAGCTGATTTCTCAAAAGAGGCCTTACAGGCAAGAGGGGGCTGGAAAGAAGTATTCCAAGTCATGAAAGGCAAGGACCTACACCCAAGATTGCTCTATCCAGCTATTATTTAGAATTGAAGGGCAGATAAAGTGCTTCTCAGATAAGGTCAAGTTAAAGGAGTTCATTATCATCAAGCCCTTATATGAAATGTTAAAGGGACTCATCTAAGAAAAAGATGATCAAAACTATGAATGGTAAAATGACAACAAACTCAGTTATTAACAACCACACCTAAAACAAAAACAAAGCAAACAACTAGAACAGAATCACAGAAATGGAGATCACATGGAGGGTTATCAACAGGGGAGTGGGAGGAGGAAAGAGGGGGGGAAGGTACAGAGCATAAATAGCATAAAATAGAATAGGTACAAAATAGACAGGGGGATAGTAAGAATAATATAGGAAATGTAGAAGTCAAATAACTTATATCTGTACATGGGGGTTCAATTCCATGGGTTGTACCCATGGACATGAACTAAAGGGGAGAAATGTGGGTGGGGGGGTGTGCAGGGTAGGGGGAGTAGGGGAGTAAATGGGACAACTGTAATAGCATAATCAATAAAAAATATATATATAAAAAAGAAGTGAAGTAAGTTGCCCATGGTGACATAGATTTGAGTTCAGGTATTCTGAAGCCTAAACCCGCAGACTCAAACCCTAGGCTCTATTTATGGTCTTGCTTAACTCCTGTGGCTCATACCGTGTTTTATGGGTTAACTGAAAGGGAAGGATAACAGGACTGGGGAGAAAACAGATATTTATTGTGTACTGACCAGGTACTTCACATATATTAACTTCTTTTGCTTCACGTGTATGAACTCCCAACAACTCTGTAAGATCACTGTGGCAATGAACTAAGAGCTTGTTATTCACCACCTGATTAGAAAGTTTTCGGTTGTTAAGGGTCAAGATTAATCTTTTAGGCCAGTGTATAAGATAACATCACAAAGAAGCCAATGTTGTTTATTTAAGTGTTCATTAACTAAATAAATCTTTAATTTTGCCTTAAAAAAAAAGAGAATAAAAAAGAAGAACCATCCTCAGAGTTAGGAAGCTCTCCCTGTTGTTGTGTAAGACTGGCAAAATAATTAGCATTTCCAGGCTTCAGTTTCCCCTTTTGTAAAATTATGGATTATGAGAAAATAATCACTAATACCTCTTCTACCTCTAATATTTAGGGGCAATACAACTCAATCCACCGCTAAGATATCAGCTGCTATTTAATCGCTTTGATACCTTGTCTAGCCCCTCAGTACTAGAACCAACTAGCAGCATGTAACAAAACAATTTCATTTTTCTATCTGCATTTTGGTTTATTATTTTTAAAAGTAGTTTTTTATGTTTATTTTAATATTTTTAAATTATATTTTTCAATTACAGTTGACATTTTTCTATCTTCACTTTAAAATCAAATTCGAATGTTGTACATTTTCCTTTCGTTCTCTCTCATCACGAAGTCTCCTCCGGTTAGGCTTTCCTCCACTACCCCCCTGTTAACTTGCCCCCTTCCTGTGGATACACTTCTAGCTGCAGCCCACCCTCATACCCTCACCTGCTCATTTCTCCTTCAAATTGGTCCCTTGGAAACCTATGCGATGTGAAGAGAAACTACTGGGCAAAGCGTCTTTTACTCTGTATTATCAATTATTTTAATCTGGTATTCATGACCATCCTGCAGTAAAATTCAGAATTAAGAGCCATGTAAAAGAGGAACATGCATGGACTTTTTGTATATCTATGTCAAAGGAATAAGAAGGCATGATAATAGCTAGTAATAGATTATGTGACAGGAGCCTACCAGAGAAAAATAAAGCAATAAACCAGGCTTAGCTCATTAGTAATTCAGATGCTAGAGGATCTGGTCACATGAGACCTATTTCATATATACATGAAGTGCTTATTAAAGGAAACAAGGTAACACTTATTAATAAGAAACTCGATAAAAGGCAAGGAAGGCCCTTGGCTATAGGAGGAAAACACTGAGCAATAGGCATATCATAACCACACCTCCTTTGATTTGGGGTAAGTAATTTTGAAACAAAAACATGGGGGTGAGGTAGGAGAATGATTTCAAACTAGTCTAAAGGGGGTTTATCTAGGACTTGCCACAGTTTTATTTTACCCAAACTTTGAAAACTTCTTTCAGTATAAAATTTCACGTCTTTTAATCATTATTTTAAAACAACATTTTCCTCTTTAAGGGAAATATAATACCAACGGTTTTCTTAATTATAGTTTTTCTGGTATTTTTCTTTCTAAAACAAGGGTTGATTCTAAATAAATTCTACATTAAATTTTAATTTCCCAAACATAGTTTATTTTTTAAAACTTGACAATGACCCTTGATTTAATTATCATTAAAATCAAACAAAAATTAGTTTCTGTCATAGCATTTTTTTTGTTTTAAATTTTCTAGAACTTCTGACAAAATGATGCAAGGAGGAAGCATACCATTTAAGTATATATTTCAAAAGTTCATTGTATTAAAGGGATATTTTTAAGAATAAATCCATCACTATGACACCAAAATAGTTTTGCATTTGTAAAGCAGTATTCCAAATTCACAGACTTTATATTGCTCAGGATTGATTTTTATGTTTACCTTGAAAACAAATACAGCTAGAAAAATTTCATAGATTGAAAGGAATATGCTCTAATATAGAGATCTCATTAAAATTATTTTACTTTTACCAAGAGTATACTTCTAAGACTTGGAATTACTAAAACGAGTGCTTCATAAGAGCCTTGCTGTTCATCTCCTATGAAAAAGCATTACCATTAGAGTATAAATACTCCTTTACTGGCTACAGAAGAAAAGGTTAGAGACTAACGTAAGTCAAGGTGACTATAAGCAGCTTAGAATTTCAGAGTTCCACTTCTTAACTGAGACATATTTGAGGGAACTCAGTGGTACTTTATTAGCTCAGGCACTGCGCTGCAAACTACTTGGCAGGGATAAAGCAATAAACCAGGCTTAGCTCATTAGTAATTCAGATGCTAGAGGATCTGGTCACATACAAAAAGCCTGGTAAGCACGAAACTACTTGATAAACAATCCTTTGTATGATGTTCATGTTGTTGGATCCCTCAAGGATGCCAGCAGAGAAAGACAGACACATACAACGGGGGACCCCAACACACACAAAAAGGAATTATCTTGTAGTACAGGCTTCCCCCGCTAGGTGAGTGTTCTAGGAACCGATCTGTATCAGTGTACTAGCTGGTGGTGTAAGAGGCTGCCCTGGCTTCAGTGATTTTTTTGAAAGCTCTCTTTGAAGACTCTTTCAACATGTTTGCCCATTTCATGATGGCTGATTTACAAGCGCACCCACCCACCTTGCTGAGTATTCAGCAGTTTTTGACCCAAAACAGCAAGACCCCCCCTTCTTATTCAACCAGTCTAGCCCCACACTACTTTTTTGTTTTCCCCGGATGAAAAGTCCTCAAAGGGAAATGTTTTGCCAACATGGAGGAGATGAAACAAAAACAGCAGAAGCATTAAAAGCCATCAAAATCAACAATTTCAAAAAATGTTTGGTGCAGTGGAAAAAACATGCGGATGGGTGTATTGCATCAATTGGAGAGTACTTTGAAGGTGACTGAAGTTTAAACATGTAAGAATAAATACACAATTTTTCATAAATAAACTCTGATGTTTGGGATGTCCCCCCTCGTACATAAGAATATCCAAAACAGAAAGGTTTCAAATTTAGTATGCAAGTTTATCCTGGTTCAAATAAGGACAGGAAATAATATAGCAATAACTAAATAGAAGCATCAAGAATTCCTTTATAAAACATTTAGTACAGTACGTACTTTATTATGAACTCATTTTTTAAAAATTTTTATTTATTTATCTTTAGAGGGGAAGGAGAGAGAGAGAGAAACATCAATGTATGGTTGCCTCTAGTGCATCCCCTGCAGGGAACCGGCCTGCAGGGAACCTGCCTGCAACCCAGGCATGTGCCCTGACTGGGAATCAAACCGCAATCTTCTGGTTCACAGGCCCGTGCTCAATCCACTGAGCTACACCAGCCAGGGCTTATTATGAACTCATTTAATGTTCTGAACAACCCTATGAATGAGGTGTTATGATGATGCTATAATATAAAAAGGAGGCTGAGGCAGAGGTTCTATAACATGGTCAAGGAAATCGACCTAGGAAGCAGCAGGGATGAGATATAATCTAGATCTGGAATCCATGTGGTTAAATCATTATAATGCAAACCCCTAAGTTAATAAAAAGACTGAAAACAACTAAATAGATTATAAAGCTTATATGTGCTGAGAGGGGGCATCCTAAAGTGATCATAAATTTCCAGTTCCTCAGATAGAACTACCGAAAGAAACAAGAGAATAGTCAAACAACCTCGTAATAAAGCAGGACGAGGCCATGTGCTCCCTACTTCCAACACTGGATTCTACTCATTAAAGGCCACAAGCCTGTGATCTTCTCAAGACACTAAAATTACCAATCACTCAGTAAAATGACATACTTTCCATATGAAAGAAAAACAAAAAATAGCAGCAGTTAATAGTTTGAATTTAACTGACATCAATAAGCTCATCCAAAATTGATTTTTTTTCATAATTGAGAAACGGACTACAGGTTTTAAGTAACACCTTCTTTATAAGGCACTGAATCCAAATAGTAACCTTGCAGTAGAGCCTAAAAAGCAAATAGCATTTGACTTTAGCTTCCAAGTTAAAGGAAAGATGTAAGGAACTATAAAAAATACTTAGTTATGTCATTATTTGCTTCTGATTTAAGAAATTAAAGAGAGGAATAAAGGGAATCTTTAAGAGTCAACGAAAAAAACATATACTTGAGAAACCAAAGTCTCAGGAAGAGACAATTTATCTGTGACTCTCCTCTCCCAACTGCCAAATGCTTCTATCCCCCTTCCTGATGAGTGTGGGGGAAAAAGACGGAAGGCATGAAGGGTTTTCTTACACCAGCTCTCTGGCTTTTTAGAATTGTTTCATTCAAAGCCCATGCTCTACACCCATTGTCTTGCTCGACTGTTTGCATCTTCTCCTTCATTCCTTTGTGCATAAGTTAAAGGCTTCCCAACAGGGGGCCAAACCCTCCCCCCCATTCCTTAGAACCATTCCTTCACAGACTTGTGCATACTGCCACACATTTCCTCAATCTGTAGAAATTAGATCGAAACTTTTAGTTATCTGACCACTTCCCCACTAATGAACATTTAGGTTGTTTCCAATTATAATTACCATTTAGGCCATTCAGACTAAGCCTGCAGTCCAGGTTCTGTTCCTATTAGCCTTTAATCTTCCATTAGTAATTTAAAGATCTTTTCTAGATTTCAATCTAGAAATGAAACAGCATGTAGAAGGCTCATAATTTCGACTAAAAAAAACACAGACAAACTTCAGGTCTAAACCCCTCAGGTGTGGGCAAGAAAAAACATGAAAGTGTCATTCTTTTATCCATAGTTTAACTATACATTTATCAAATGAGTTATTATTTTGCCTGCAAAGAAAGACATAAAAGCAGCACCAAAAAAAGACTCAAAAGATATACTTACAGAGTCATAAAGCTGTTTACAGGTTTGGCTGGCATCAATTTTCCCTGCAAAGGAAGCTGTTGGAACCGTAGTGTTTAATTCATGTACTATTCTGTCATCAATCGTCCTCATCACCTTGAGTAATTCCTATACATATTCAAAACAAAAGAATAACCTGAATGGAAAATGAAGTGATAGAAAATAGCATTTAAACAACAAAAAAATTAAGTTCTTGGATATATTATAACCCTGTACATTAGGAGTGGGGAAACCATTGCAAATACAATGCAACCACAGGAAAATCTTCATTATAAGAATTATGTAGTAGTAATCCTAATAATGGGATCATCTTAAGAGTAAAGATCATTCTATTCACTTTTAAACCCACAGTACTCAGTCAGCGGTGTGTGCTAGTCCCATTTCCAGTACACAGACCATAGTTCTAATGAGCTCAATTACTGCAGCATAACTGCTGATTCCATTTCCTCTCTATCATTCTAAAATGTGGCGCTAGGTAGAAAACAGCATGTAGAAAGCTCATCATTTTGACTAATTTGTAAAGATAACACAAGAAACTATCAGTAATGGTTAACTTGCAGAAATTAATCTATACCCTTTTAGGCTAAGTTAAATATATCCATTTAGACTTTTCATTTTTTACTACAGCTGTGTATAATTTTTGTAACAAAAATAAGTAAAACCAAATATGCTGCTAGAGAAAGAGTCAAACCTCTTTACAGCTTTCTTGCTTACAGAACAAGAATCAGTTTCACCTTCCTTAATAACCATAGCTCCACCCCTCCCCCAAAAGGCTCCGATTCTCAAACTTCTCAAACTAACCAAAAGAAAAATGGTAACAAAAGGGAAGAAGACTTCGACTCTGGAGAACAGGCCTACCCAGCACACACAGTCCTCCTCCCCACCTTCTGTCACTAGAAAAGCTGGGCTTCGGCTACTAGAAGAGGTACAGTATGCCTTTCTCTTTCTTTTAAAGAACAAATGTGATCTCTGCAAAATCATCAAGTAGTAATAGCAACAGACTTATTACTGAAAATATCCAAGTTCACATTCAATATTAATGTGTATGAAAAGCAACTTGCTTGATCCCACTTCCCTCCGCATAACATCCTATTTCTTTCCTTTGCCGACTTAAATCCATATCTGAAACAAGCTCCTTTTTCTTTCTTCATCCATTTGTTAAAATAAAAACTTTTACTACCATTAAGGCATTACACATTTCAGAAAAATTAAAAAATTATAAAGAAAATAAAAATCATTCACAGTTAACCATTACCAATGTTTCTGTCCCTTTAGTTTTTCTATAAATTTCTATAAATGTTTTTATAAAATTAAGGTACTATGTAACATTTCAAAGTCCAGCTTTATGACATTACACCATAAGCATTCTGCCCTTATTAAAAACACACTGAAGACATTTTTAATAGTTGCATTCATATTCTATTCTGTGGCAGCACCACAGCTTATCCACTTCCCCATTAGTGAACATTTAAGTGGTTTCCAATCATATTACCCACTTAGGCCACCCAGACTAAGCCTGCAGTCCAGGTTGTGTCCCTCTCAGTCTTTAATCTTTCATTAGTAATTTAAAGATGTTCACTAGATTTCAAGCTAGAAATAAAACAGCTTATAGAAGGCTCATATTTCAATTAATAAAACATGGGCAAATATCAGGTTCAAAACCAACTTCACTGTCTTATCATCTTGTACCTTTCTATTTTTGATCTTCTTGTATCTATTTTAGGCAATAGCACCATCATTCTCTGTATACTTGAATTCTTAGAGGAGTTCACCTCAACATATTCACTAAGCAACTTTAAATAATGTTTTATGTACACTGGAGGATATATCATCTCAGTAAGTGGCAAGTTCCAAACAAATGATGGTTAGCACTATTTAGATTGTCAAAAAATAGCTAAGTAGTAAACAGGGACCTACCTTGCCAACTTTACCTTCTACAATTTTACTATTAAGAAAAAATAGCCCCGGATGGTGTAGCTCAGTGGATTGAGCGCGGGCCTGCGAAACAGAGGATCGAGATTCCATTCCCAGTCAGGGCACATGCCTGGGTTGCAGGCCAGTCCCCAGCAGGGGACTCACGAGAGGCAACCATACACTGATGTTTCTCTCCCCCTCTCCTTCCCTTTCCCTCTAAAGATAAAATAAATGAAATCTTAAAAAAAAAGAAAGAAAACCGAACTGATCTTCTTAGGCTAATGTTTAAGTTACACCTTTTAGATAAAGCTTTCCTTGATTGAGAGGCCTCGACAATTTTTCTTTATCCTCACTGCAGGACATTTTTTTTATTGCTATTAGAGAGAGAGGAAGACAGAAACATCAACGTGCAAGGGGAACATGATCAGCTGGCTCCTGTATGTGCCCACCAGGGACTGATCCTGCAACACAGGTGTCTATGTGTCCTCACACGGAATCAAACCCGAAACGGTTTCGGTTACAGGACAACACTCCAACCAACTGAGCCACACCGGCCAGAGCTCTTTCTTTTCTATTTATTTATTTTTTTACCCTCACTGGAGGACATTTTTTTCATTGCTTTTAGAGAGAGGGAGAGAAACATGGATGTGAGAGAGAAACATCTATCAGTGGCCTTCTAGTATGCACCCCAACTAGGGACCGAACTTGCAACTGAGGTAGAATTGAACATGTGACCCTTCAATCTACAGGAAGATGCTCCAACCAACTGAGCCACAGCAGCCAGGACGGGCTGTCGCACCATTCTGAACACCAGGACCACTGTGGTTAATAAAACGGAAAAGCTTTTTGCTCTTATGGAACAAAATTCTCGGAAGAGACAGACAATAAATAAGTACACCTATAAGCAAGGTAATTTCAGTATGGTAGTTCCCATCGATAATCCCTCTTATCGATGGGGGATCCATTCCAAGACCCCCCCAGTAGATGCTCGAAACCATGAATAGTACTGAATCCTATATATTCTGTTTTTCCTTAATACATACATACCTTTTCTTTTAAAGGAAGTACTTTACAGCTTCTCTGACATATCCGAACTGCCAGCACTGCTACTCTTATGCTCTTGGGACATTATTAAGAGTTACTTGAATATAAGCACTGTATTATCAAGGCAGTAGATCTGAAGGCCAAAGCAGCTACTAAGTGACTAACAGGCAGGCAGCAAAGGGGTGATTCATTCATTGATTCACACCTTGGATAGGATGGAGCAGGCTACTCAGAAAGGTGTGCAATTTAAAACTTATGAACTATTTCTTTCTGGACTTGCCCATTTACTATTTTTGGACCACAGATGACTGCAATTAACTAAAAGTGCACATAAAGGGTTTCAGAAAACACACTAAGGTAACTGGATGAAAAGTGACTTGGTAAGCGAATGGCCTACCTTAGTATGGAGATCAAGAAAGGCCTCTCCAAGGATGAAGCTTTTGGGCTGAGACCTAAATATGAAGCCAACTATGAGAACATCCAGGGAAACAAGTAAAAAAACTATGAGGCAAGAACAAACTTTGGCATAAAGAACTAAAAGGAAAGAAGGGGAGGGAGGAAGATGGAGTAGGATGGAGCAGATTCCATGGAACCCTTCCCCCTACACACGGGAGAAAAACCTGGCCGATCTATGGAGGAGCAGAGTAAACAGCCAACAGTACCCCAACATATATGAAAATAAGAGACCATAAATTGTAGTGGACACTAAAAGACCAGATGATAAGGAGATGACTGCAGGACAATAAGGTCCAAGGGACCAGCACAGAGACAGGTGGCAGCCTCAGCCCACACCCAGTGCCAGTTTACCACGGACTCTTTGGGAGCTGAGGGCTGGCTGCAGGGTCCTTGGGAGAGAGCCAGGTCATCAGCTCCCTCCCTACCAGGCCAAGCAAGGTTTGGGCAAAACCGGGAAAGACCTGGTTGCTTGAGGTTGCAGAGAGGGGAATAAAGATAGGGAAGCAAACACAAGGGCCATGATCACCTGCGGAGTCTATGGTGGCCAACTTGGGAGAATTGAGAGTCACGGTGTCGGGCTCTGAACCCGATGGTCACTGGTCTGGCTGGAGAATTGGGCTGTGCTGGGCAAGCTTGAGTGGAAGGAATCTCTTGAAAAGAAAACTTGCTTGGGGGATCCTCCTGCGACAGCTGCTTGGCCTGCTCCCCACCCAGCCTGGCAGCGATCCTGAGGTTGGGCGGAAGGCCTTGCGTTCCCCTAAAGCACTGGGAAGGGTTCGCACCCAAACCTGCAGGACCCAGGCAGCCTGGCCTGGCACACATGCCCACACCCCAGCCCACGGTGATGACTCCCACAGAGAGAGTGCTCTGAAGAGGACCTAGATCCCCTATGTGGGGCACTGGGGAGAGGCTCTAGGCAAGCTCTTGGGAGACTACTCGAGAGACTGGCTGAGTACACATCGGGAAGGGACAAAGGCCACACCAATTGCCCCTCAGCCTGCTGCAGCCAGCAAGACAAAAATTGGTTTGGCCAGCTTGAAACCAATTAGAGGTGTTTTTTTTTCCAAAGTAATCTTTTATTTTTTAAATTTTATTATTGTTTTTATCTTTCAATGCCTTTTTCATCTCTTTCCTTCTATCTTGTTTTATTCTTTCTTCCTTTCTTTCCAAACTTATCGCTTCTTCCTCCCTTCTCCTGCCTCCCCCCCCCACTAAGTAAGAGAAAAAACTTGGAACTGCGAAAAGACCGGAGTTGGACCCAAAGAGGGGGCATACCAACAGTACAGACAGAGACAAATCTCACTTTGCTACAGCAGAGAAACTACAAGTTACTGCATATTTGTATTATTATTTTTTTTTCGTTTTTCTTACATCTTTTATTTTAATAATATCTTTGTATTCCTCCTCTTTCTGTATGGTCTTCTTTGCCTTGGCTGGATATATTGTATCATTTGACAGATTTCCCCTGTTCTCTCTTCCACAGTGTATTGCTAATTTACTATCCTTCACAACACCCCTGTTCCTTTAACACGCTACTCAAAGTTCTACAGCCCCTATTCATGTTATTCAGATCACATACATTCTGTCACATGATTGTTGCTCTAATATTATTGTAAATAATAGCTGTTCCATACAATTCTAAATACTACACAATACCCCTGCCGGATCTTAGCCCACTTCACAGTTTCCTGAAC